CAGTCTCTCGCCGAACCTCCGCCGTGGCGCAACCATCTCCCTCACGTCTTCATCGTCAACCTGCAAGCAGAAAACCACAAAAGGCGCACCACCAGAAACCAACCCAGAATCTTCTCCACCATCACCAAGCATTATCGTCGCTGCTGTTGAAGCCTAAATCGCCTCGACCACCATCGCACTGCCACTTTCTCCTTCGTCTCCATCAACCTGTGAATAAAAAACACACAGAATCCAATTCGCGGTGCAGGCAGGAAAGCCTTCTTCCAACTTCCAAAGCTAATTTGTTCCTCACACGAACCCTACCCCCAATTTTTTCCCCAATCTCAATTACATTTGTCAATTAAAGGGGTCTGCACTTAAAGTTTTTTATTATTCCCACTTTACCCTTCCAAAAAGCTGATTACACCACTATGCATTCATAATTTTTAATACAAAATTAGTTTATAATGCCACGTCTCATTAATGTGATGCCACGTAATCAACATTTAAACGACCGTTTGCCCAAATTGACGGTAGACCTTTAATTGCTCAAATTTTACATAAAAAGGGACCCAATTGAGACGAAAAAAAGAAAAGGGACCTATTTGAAATTTCTGACCAAAATAGGGACCTACCGAGACATTAAACCTTAAACAAATTTGTATATAAGAATTAGGGATTTAGTTCCTATTTAGGGTTCATCCACAAAAAAATTAGGAATCAATCAAAAAATTGGAGATTTAATGACTATCATATTTTTGGCCATAATGTTTCTCCATTATTCTTTTCACTAGTTCAATGGCTATCAAATTTTCATGAACATTCTGCTCTTCCAAGATAATATTCTCCAGCACCAACATTCGCTCTGCCCTTCAATCATAATATTCTCCAATTTTGTGGCAATATTATGCAGTTTCATGCTAACCAAATGTTCTTGGGCATACAACACTTCTATGAGCATATTATGCACTTCCATCATAACAAAATCTTCTTGTATATTCTCCTCTTGCATGATATCATTGTGCAGCCATGGTTTCCAAATGTTCCTCAACATTCTAATGCTCCCTGGTTTCAAAATGTTTTTCAACATTTTGCAGCTACATTCTTTCCGAATCTTCTTCAGTGTTCTACTGCTCCATGATGTTTTAATAGTCATGGTTTTCACTTGTAGAATGACATCACGATTAAGACATCACGATTCAAATGCGATTTGTGGCCATGTAGAGCTCGAACATGATTTAGGATTTTTCGAATTGGGAATTTTTCTGGATTAGAGCTCCTTTGCGTTTGATTTGCAGGTGATGAAATTGATTTGGATTTTCTGTGATTAGGTCTGGTAGTGTTTCATGGATGTTGACGCATCGCGATGGTGCTCGTGATTTAGGTTGAGCTAATGGAGCCTTGTGTGGTGGTTATATGTGCGAAGAAGATGCGACCTGAGGGTTTGGAAGCGCGAGGAAGATGATGGGCGAAGATGGTGACGGTGCGAGAACAATTTATGAAATTAATTCCCAATTTGGATGAACCCTAAAATCAAACTTCCCTTTTCCCAATCCATAATCCCTAATTCGAACAAATTATATAGTTTAATGTTTAATTTTTTTTTACAAATTTTTTTATTAAAAAAAAATCAAAAGACACATCACAATCACATACATCAAATAAGCTACTCCACGTCATTTAAAATGAAAATGAGCATGCCACGTCAACCATACACTAACGCTGGGCCTAATTTAACTATGAGAGGCTACTTGTTACAATTTTCACAAAATAAGAACTCAATTGAGACGTGGAAAAAAAAGATGACTTATTTGAGATTCTGAACAAAAACAGAGACCTACAAAGACAAACACCAACATGGACCAATCACAGAATGACACAAAGATGGTGTTAAAATGTTGTAAAAAAAATGTTGTCAAAGTATCATTATCTATATATTTTTCCTCGCTCAAACATATTATCAGCGATTTCTTTTCTTTTTTCTTTTCTTTTTCTTGCTTGAAACTACTTTTTCCTTCTTTATTAGAAAAAAACAACTATTTTGTACGAGTCAAAGAGCCGGCTAATGTTCTTTTCAACGTACTAATGATGTCTTTTTTGAATTTTCTTTCTATTTCTTCAGTTCTTAAGTTTTCAAATCTGGAAACAAACAGGCGTTAATCTGGATTTGGTACAGCGATGTTCTACAAAGTGGTAAAAAAAATAAAATCCCATTTATTATGAAATATAAAGGTGTATTATAATTTGATGCATGAATTCGCTAGCACCAAATCGGTATACATGGTTGAATTCTTCTGCTAATAGTATTCTCCTCTGATGTAGTCATTGAGTCGCTTCAATTCTCCACTTTGCTGCTCCATCACTGCTCGCACCACATCTACAATGGAAATCATACCAACTATTTTCCCATCTATAACTGGAACATGCCGAATGCGATTCTCTGCAAGAAACAGTTACCTTTGAGCCTTAATCTCTGTGGCAAAATATCAGAAGAAGGAGAATTACCCTTACCTGTCATAATTTTCATTGCTTGAAGAATGTTGGTGTCAGAGGTCACCGTTATCAGGTTGTTCTGTTCACGAGTACCCTCATCATCATTCACAAGAAATATGCAAGAATAGGATATCAAATATATAGGAAATGAAAGAGCATAAAATAACCTCGTCAGTCATTATTTGACCAACTTGTGTGTATAAGGGAGATCTTCCTTGTGCAACTATTTTTTTTAAGCAGTCTTGTAGTTCATGCATGCATTCAACAAAGGGGTTCAGTTTAGCTCGTAGTTATTAGAAAGATGGTAATGAATTTTCTATCCGAACAAAAGGGTGTTATTAGAAAGAACCGCATGTACCTCTTTCTGTGACAATCCCTGCTATGTGCTGCCCTTCTGGCTTTAGTACCACCAATGATCCAATGTTATTATCAGCCATCTGAAACCTTATACAATGTTAGTTAAGAAGCATTCTTAATGATTGTTTTTTTGAGCAAATTGAACCGTCTTACGTTTTTCATTGCATTAATGACAGCATCATCAGTTCGACACCAAAGCCAGGAGCCGATGTTTTCTTCACCTTTTGTCATTAGTACCTCTGACACTGTTACATTCTCCAATCCTTTCTGCTCTTTGCGTGGAGAGGACGTGACACATCCAAAATTTGAACTTATTTTGTTGAGGTTAGATATCGCATTTCCTTGGAATTGTTGAAATATTGCGCCCCTCAGAGGGTTTTGGCGAAGTCGTAGTATCCCGCACAATCCTAGCATTTGTTGTTCTGCTTCTGTTCAATCAAAATAAAACATAAATTTTTTTCATATAACCACAACAGTAGCTTGTATCTTGCATTTTGAATTCTTTTCTTAAAGGAGAATATGAAGAAAGGAACTTTGTAGTTGCTTAAACATGGAATTGCCAACCCCATTGGATCACGTTTTTCTCATTCTTTTGTCCAACTTTACTGACTCACGGATGATTATTTTAAGCTTAGTTCTATATATTCCAGAGCAAACTCAATGAAATCAATTTATTAACACGGTGATGAAAGACTAAAACCATTATTTCAGGAAGCTTGAGAGGCCAAGAATATGCTTGGAATTTCTTTCGTGAGAGGCATACGTAAAGCACAGATCAAGATAAGAATGGTTTGCATACGTTTGATTAAAACGTAAATCTCTAAGTATAAGCAAAGCACAAACCAAGAAGTTTCCAAGGAAATCAGTATGAAAAAGTTTGGGAAAGAAAAGTGGTTAGTCAAACCAAAATTCTAACAAAAGTCCTCCAATACATCCAAGGTATAAATTCTTTGTTCTTTGTTCAGTATATATACACAGCTAGCGCAATCTTGGGATTTTAAGATCAGCCAAAATAGAACAAGTTGTGTGTATTTCCGGTGAAAAGAAACGAAAAAACTCATTCTGTTATTCCTTCAGATACTAACCATACCAACATCCATGCCACGCAAAAACCAGCAGTGTGGTTTTAGGATCCCTTGGATCACAGGTCCTTCCACCGAATCTCATTCTCCTCCAAAACAAAAATCAAAATCTCTTTCCACTCGTCGACCACCGTTTCGTCCTCCTGGAATAGCCTCTACCCAATCACAGCCTCCCCCTCCTCAGGTAACCCCAAAAACTAAACCTCAACAAGTCTCAGATTCTCTTCCATCATCACACTCACCAGCTCCTTCGGTCACCATTGATTCGCCAGTGTCTTCTATCTCAGAATCCTCTTCAACACCATCAACTCCAACACCTTCGAAGCCAAATACGAAGGAATTGGAGTTGGATACTACTCCTACTCAGAATTTC